ACAGATAGGGAGGGAAAAGATCTTCGCCAACCGTACATCGAACATAGGGCTAGGATTAAAAAAAAAGAACTAAAGAAACTTTTTTCCAACCCACCCCTCAAATAATCCATTTAAAAATTGGGTACAAATAAAAACGGTTGAGAAGGATTTTAAAAATATTCAACATCTTTAGCCATCAGTGAGATGGAAATCAAAACCAAATCTGTAAAAATTGCTAAGATCTAAAACTCAATGACACCACATGTTGGAGAGCATGTAGGGCAAGGGGAACACTCCTCCATTGGTGGTGAAAGTGAAAACTTGTACGACAACTCTGGAAATCAATCAGGTGTTTTCTAAAAAAATGGGAATATTTTTAAGACCCACTCCTGCACATATACCCATATACCCAAAAGATGCTCCAGCGTTCCATAAAAAATCTTGCTCATCTATGTTCTTAAAAGCTTTATTTTTATTAGCCAGAAATAGAAACAACCAAGATGTTGAAGAATGGATAAATAGTATGTGGTACATTTATACAATGTAATATTACTCATCTATTTAAAACAAGTAAATCATGCATGTTGCAGGCAAATGAACAGAAATAGAAAATATCATCCTGAGTGAGGTAATGCGGACCCAGAAATACACATACGGTATGTCCTTACTTATAAGTGGATACTATCCAGATAGTACAGGATAATCATTTTATAATCCAGAGACTCAAAGACACTAAAAAACAACGGGGGCGGGAGGGCAAGGGAGGATTCTTGAATTTCCCTCAGAAGGAGAAATAAAATGGACATAGGAAAAAGAGATAAAGAGAGAGAACTGGGTCTGAGAGAGACTGAGAAAGGGAACAAGGGTGTGGGTCAGGTAGGGGGAGAGTGTGTGAATGGTGAGAGGGCTGGAAGAAAGAAAGGAAATGCATTGGAGGGGCATCTCTGAGACAAGCTGGAGACCTGTGACAGGGTAGCTTCCTGGAAGAACATGGGGATGACTAGCTGAGACTCCTAGCTACAATGGATAAAGAGACTAAAATGATCAACTCTTATAGCCAGGAAGCACTTCCTTTGGAAGGAGGGGGATACCAACCTATCCACAAAACCTTTTATCCAAAATTTAGCCTGCAAACAAAATGTGCATGAATAGAGATGGAAAACAGACTGAAAAAAAGGCCAAACAATTACTGGTTCAACTTGAGACCCACTCCATGGAAGAAAGACAACCCCTGACACTATTAATAAAACTCTGCTCTACTTGCAGACAGGAGACTAGCATAACTGACCTCTTAGAGGCCCCAACCAGCATTAGATAAAAATAGATGCTAAGACCCACAGGCAAAGATTAGGTGGTGCTCAGGGAGTCTTGTGGAAGAGGTAGAGAATGGATTAGAGTGACCTTGAGGGGAGAAGAACTCCACAAGAAGACCAACAAGTCAACTAACCAAGGACCATGGAGTCTCACAGAGACCAAAAGACCAACCAAAGAGCATTCATTGACTGGATCTAGGTTTCCTACACATAAGTAGCTGAAAATGGTATTCATGATATTCATGAATATTCTTGCTATTCATGAGTGTACCCTAGCAATTAGAGAAGGGACTGTCTCAGCATGGACTCTGTTGCTTGCTTTTGGATCACTTTCCCAAAGCTGGGCTCCCTTGCTGATCCTCAGTGGAAGAGGATGCATTTAATCTTGATGTAAATTGATGTGCTGGGGAGGGATGGGAAGGAGGAAGGATAGGGTTTTTCTGAGGAAAAGGTGGGGGAGTGAGAAGAGGATGGCTTGGCAGGACTGAGATGAGAGGGGATAGGGGCCTGTGATAGGGACATAAAATGAATAAATTTTAAAAAATTAAAAAGCTAGACTAGGGCATTTGCAGAAAAAATAACTTGGCCAACTCTATAATTGATGTACTGAGCCTCACTTCAGGCTTTTGATCATGAAAATTGTTACAAAAAATTGTAATAATTTATGCTCTTAAAATATATGTATATTAGTTACAGGAGCTATAGGAAAATGAGAATATACTCCAAAGGACCCAGTTATGTTGTATTAATTCAATGAATTCCATTCAATTTTCTTATGGTCTTTATTCAGGAAATTTGTCAAATGCACTATTTTTAAATGGATTATAAAGTACCCAAGGTGTAATTATAGATATTGTTTTATTTTAGGATGTTTCTCTGTTTTTGGAATTAAATTCACCCAATCTTACTTGATTTGATGTCTCTGACATTTGGAAATAAATGATTTTTGAAATGATTCTGGCTGTAGTACTTGCTATTTCAGGGCCATTGACCAAACATTAACTCTGTTAACTTGCTTAGTATTAGAAGTTTTAGGGAAGTTTCTAAAGGCTTTCATTTCATACTCTGAAACAGCATTTCTTAAGAGGATAGAGGAAATTTAATAAAATAATGAAAAAAATAGTTTTTATTTTCTTTTTCCTTTTTTATTTTTTATTTTTATATTTATTTTTATAAATTACACTATATTAACTTTGTATCCCCCCATAAGCCCCTCCCTCCTCCCTTCCTGATCCCACCCTCTCACCCCCTCCTTCACGCATGCCCCTCCCCAAGTCCATTGATAGGGGAGGTCCTCCTCTCCTTCCTTCTGATCTTAGTCTATCAGATCTCATCAGGAGTGGCTGTATTGTCATCTTCTGTGGCCTGGTAAGGCTGCTCCCCCCTCAGGGGGAGGTGATCAAAGAGCAGGCCAAGGAAGAATTTGTTGTTTTTTTATTTGTTATTTGTGAATTTCACATCATGTACCATAATCACATTTATCTCCCTTTCCTCTTAAATCCACTACCCACCTTTGCAAGCTCTCGCTAAAAAGAGAAAAAAAAATCTCATTCTCTAAGCTGTAGTGTTTAACAGTGTATCCCACAGTATACCTGTTTACCACACTTCTTTGCTTGCAAATACTCATTGTAACTACTTGTTGGTCTGGTTTAAGGCCTCTGGCTTTTGCTATTCTATAAATACTAGAATTTCACTGGGACTCCTCTCAGATATTCTGTTGTTCCCTTGTGTCATGAGTTCCTGCAGTTTTGGATCTGTAGGACCTAGCCCTTTTCAAAGCCCTGGATATGAGCCTGAGAATTATGTGAACTAGTAAGTCCACTGGATCTCCTGTTCCCATGCCCTTGGGGCCTGCTCTCCAGCAACCCCACTACCAGGGCCAGCTCTTCCCTGCTACTCAGAGGAGGTGCAGGGCCTGCCAGTGAAGGACATGGACTGTTCTCTCAATCTCATTATCATTAAGCCAGCACTCTTGCCTACCATAGATGGCTAGGGATAAGGGGATAGAGGATGGAGTCTCTTCCTCATACATGCCATGGCCCAGCAGACAAGAAGTATGAGAGTCTCTCCCACATTCATATTCCTGGGGCTTACTTACCTTCAACTTCCTCATCTAGGGCCATCTCTACTGTGTTGCCCAGATGAGGCGCAGGACCTGATCTCCCAAGTGCTGCAGCAGGTGAGGCCCATGGCCAGCTATTCTGTTTTGATGACCACAGGTACCAACTCTTCTGCCTGACATGTGTCATAAGGGGCAAAAAGTAGGGGCATATTTTCCTTGTCTGTGTCATCATACAACAAATTATGAGGCCAGCTCTCTCATGCTCACAACCTTAGGGCTGGTTCACCCAAACCCATGCCATTCCGTTCAGCTCTACTGTGCTGCCCAGATGAGGAGCAGGGACTGCTATTATGAGTGTTACAGCAGGTGAGGGGTAGGAACAGCTCTCCTGATCTCAGGACACAGTCAGTGCCAACTCTCCCAACTGCTTCTGGAGGGGAGGGAAAAAGGGGGATCTCTCCCTCACTGAAACCACTGCACCTGCAATTCCCACATCTAGAGATATGCTTTCCAGGTAAGGTGCAGGGTGTGTTCTCCCAAATGCTGCAAAAGGTAAGTGGCAGGACCAATGTTCCTGATCTCATGACCTTAGGTTGCAAGAGACTCCAACCATCAGGGGTCTCTACTGTTCTTCCAGGGTAAGGTTGTAGGATCTGCTCTTTTAAGTTCTGTAGCTGATAATGAGTAAAGTCAGCTCTCCTGCCTAACAGAAATGGTGAGGGGTAAGAGGAGAGAAGAGTATCTCTCCTTTGTCCATGAAACCACATGGGAGATGAGTGATAGGGTCAGCTCTTCCATAGTAGTATCCTTGAGGCTGGCTCATAGTCAACTCCTGCATTGTGCAGGATGGCTTCCTGCAGCTGAGTCAGGGGTAGTTTGAGAGTTCATGCTCTCATTCACCCAGGATCAGTTCTCTCAGGATGCCAAGGTGAAGGGCAGAATAAGTTCTGAACAGCCTTCAGATAACTATACGTCCCAGGAATGGCTGCCTGATCTTTGGTGGTAACAGACCCATGCTACTACAGGACTATTGAACCAGAAGTGTTCCCCTAGTGGCCGCAGAGGCCAGAACCCCACCATGGTAACAGGTGGTATCACTGGCTGCTCACATCAGGCTGTTCCTCCTGTCCCCAAGTATCCAGTTCTCCTCTTTATTGTACCCACATGCTTAAGTTTATCTTTCTCTATCATTTCTCCAGCACTTACTTGCTCTTTCTAGTGTCACTCATGATCTCCAAGTGTCTTAGGTAATCTGAGGTGTTGTCTCAGAAGTGCTATATTCTTTTTGTGCATTATGGCACTGGGCAGGGGTCATCTCAGCATGGTCTGTTCCTTCAGGCCTGCATGGTGCCAGACTGGTGCTCATCCAAGGCTAGGTCCCTGTCCAGACCCAATTGTGCCTTTCTGGTAATCATCTTGTGTTCACTCTTCACCTGGCCAGTCAGAATGGACCTTTGTAATGATCATTTGTCTTGAGTACAGTCCAGCCCCAGGAGGTAGGGTTCTTCCAGTGTCAGGCTTGCTCATCATCCTGAGAGCACATCCAGGTCTTCATATTGCAGGGCTGCTGGTTATCTCAGGCTAGGTACTTGTTTGAGCCTACTGGTGTCAAACTGGTGGTCATTTTAGGCTTGCTTTTTTCAGGAAATGTTAGGCTACTAATCATTCAGATGTTCATAGGTTAGAACACTGAGCACAGAATAGTCTCTCTCCACTCTCCCATTTGCTGATGCACATGTGACACAACAGCTACACCTACAATGCAACTAGGGCAAGGGGAAAACATTGCTAATATCAAGGGGACATTGATTTTTAAACTCATTTTCAGTACATCAACAAGGAGACTAAAATAATCCTTAACAAAAATGTTACTTAAAATTATAAAAATGATAATTAGATGATCTTTTATGCTTCCAAAGAGTACGAATCATAACTAACAAAACTATGAAATAAACTACAACTGAAAATTACCAAAATTCCAAGGACAAATATTAAATCTAGAGGAAAACTAGCTTAGAACTCAAGGAAAGAATAGATGTCCCCAAATAAAGACACACACACACACACACACACATACACACAAAAGAATTAATGTCTAATTTGGTGTGCTTTTCACTTACTAAAAAAGTTATAGCAGGTTTAAAACATTAAGAAGAAATATAGAAAAATCTTATAGAAAATTATAAGGTGAAAATTTGAAGCAATTATAAGCTTTGCAAAAGCAGATTTATAAATAACAGAAGGATTTTAATTTATGAGTCTGTGGAATGACTAATACTCTCTATAGATATAAATCTACAGATAATAAAGGTTAATTTAATAAAATATGAAATATTTGCATTGAAAACCTGTTTTAATAAATAATTGTGAATAAAAGATAAAAATGGCATCTTACAACTGATAAAATAAGAAATATTAGAATGTACATACTATTTTGATATAGAAATAGTAATATGAGGAAGATGTAAGAATTTTAAAATGTTAGCAATTGGGAAGGGGAGAAGTGGTATTTTTATTATATGTATATTTTTGTAATAAAACAGAAGTTCGATCTAATTATTTTGTGTATCTTAAATTTCCCTTTTAAATTATTTAACTGATGTGAGAGATATCTACTTAAACCATAAAACTAATTACAAATCCCAAAAAGCCAAGCTAAAAAGAATGCAAAGCATGAGTAAAAATTGAAAACATAAGACATATAAATAGGGAGTAAGCATAGATGCTTAATATTTGTCACTGACAGAATTGAATCCACTGAGAAGTAATTTTACATGTGTATCTTTGTTAAACAGTGGAAAAACTAAAAAAAAATCAGTGTTGATGAATAATGGTACTATATCAATCAAGTACAAATGGCTAAAAAATTGTTTGCGTTTGAATACAGGGACTATGTAAAAAGGGATAAATAACTTTGAGAATAACTGAAAGGTTCTATACATTTTCTTGTTATTCACTTAGAGGAATATAAATTGACAAAGTAATTAAACTTCATTTCTATCTGAGAACTTTGCTATAAAACTTAACTTCAGTCTTAAAATACAGTGCTTTATATTTTATTTGCTTTGTTCTGTACCATTAAAATAAATGGTTCTGAATGCTGGTGCCAGGGACCCTATGTAAGATTCTGCTCTAAGACCTATGCATGACAACTCTCCTTAAAGAACACCCAACAATCATAAACTGCACCCTATCCTCTGGGGTCTGTTTTCTGGCTCACAACTCTGTCTGCTTTCCTGGAGGCCATGCCAGATCTAGGGAGCTCAGAGACAACATTAGCATGTGAAACCTCAGAGGTAAGCTAGGCCACAAACCCCACTACTGGACCTGAAGACTCACTGGTCACCAGAACTCCAGCCTCTCAAGCAAGGAAACAAAGAGAAAATAGGAACCATGGAAGAAATCTATAGTGGGATGCCACCTGTAGCTCTATTTTCTAAAAACTCTCCTTTATTTCAGGATGTTTAGGCTTCTACCTTCCTTCCACCAACCCCCACTCTTAAGTAGGGGTGAGAAAAGGTTACTGAGAAAAGGGGTCCCAGATCCCTTTACTTCTCTCAGCTATTTAGTGTCAAGTGGTTCTTCTAGGGCTTTATACACATCTCCATCAACCACAGACAAAAATAGCAGTCTCCTTGACTTTGCTGCACCTAAACATTTCTCTCTGTGTGTCTGTTCCAAACTGCCATACTGTCTCTGGTCTATGGTATCACAAAACTTCTACATACAACATGCCAACATCAAATGCCATGTGGAGCTCCATAACTTCTCTTTCTCTGCCCTCATATTTATACTCACAATCCTAGACCACTGCCGTCCCTGTGCTGCATGTAGTAGGCAGTTACCAGCTGGCAAAAGCCATGCTCCACATGAGACAACAGGTATGGACAAACTATAGCCCAACTAAAATCTTACAATTTGGATTAAAACAAAGGCATATTTATATAACATACAAAGAAAACAAAAGTTCCATTAGAGAAAGCCAACAAAAGCAGAAGAACAAAAACAAAGAAAATCAAACCACCCATCTAACAAACATAAACTCAGAACCCTCCAAACCCAGATAACTGGAGGCCAGCCTAAGAACACAGTCAACAATGGTGATCCAGTATGGCACCACCAGGGACCAGCCACCCTACTACAAGTCCTCCATGTTTCAACATAGTTAAATCACAATAAAATTACCTTAAATTCAATATTAAGAAGGTGATAGAGGCCATTAAAGCAGAAATAAATAAATCCCTAAAAGAAATACAGGAAAATACAATCAAACAATTGAAGTAAATTAACAGAACTGTTTAAGACCGTTAAACAGTTAAACAGAAATAGACCCAATAAAGAAAGCACAAACTGAGGGAATCCTGGAGATGGAAAACCTAGGTAAAATAACAGAAACTATGGACACAAACATTGCCAGAAGAATATAAGAGATGGAACAGAGAATGTCAGTACAGATGATACAATAGAAGAAACTGACCTATGGGTCAAAGAAAATGTTCTATTTAAAAAGTTTTTGACATAAAACATACATGAAATCTGGGATACTATGAAAATAGCAAACCTAAGAAGAATAACAAAAGAAGAAGAGGAAGAAGAGGAGGAGGAGGAAGAGAAGAAAGAAGAAGAAGAAGAAGAAGAAGAAGAAGAAGAAGAAGAAGAAGAAGAAAAAGAAGAAGAAGAAGAAACTCAGCTCAAAGATCCAAAAATATTTTCAACAAATCATAAGAGAAAATTTCACTAACTGAAAGAAATAGATGCTTATAAACATACTAAAAGCTAACAGAACACTAAAGAAATGGACAAGAAAAGAAAATCCCCTTGCTCGAAGATGGTGGTGGCTATTGTGCAGCTTAGCTGAAGGGGAGAGGACCTGCAACGCGGAAATTGGTGAGTGAAGGGGCTGATCAACCCAGAACAGAGTTATCTAGACTTCAAAGAAGAAAGAGACTAACCATGATCTGAGTCCATCTAGAATCAGGTCACGGCAGACTCCTCTGGGAGGAGACACCCCAAGAGGTGATCCCCAGGCACTTCCCCGCACCCAACACCTTACTCCCTCTACAGAGGAGGCAGGAGGCATCCAGCAGAATCTGCCACAGACCACACTGTCTGTGCCCCAGCTAGAACTACAGCTCCCACCAAAACAAAACAAAACAAAAACAAAAAACAAAACAAAACAAAAAAAACACAAAAAAAACCCGAGATCGGGGCTGAGAAAACCCAATCCTTTCGGGCACTCCCCCAAGAACGAGAATGCACCCATAACTCTGCCCTGGTGGAGCAGATAGACAGATAGAAAGATGCACAGCGGTTTCATAGCACCCTGACCCCACTGCTGCCTGCTGCACCTAGCAAAAAATCTTCAGCTCAGGATCTGGGACTGTGGTCATTCAACACATCCTGAGACTCTCCCAGGTCCAGCACAATAAGAACTAGCACCAAGTCCTAGCACCAGCGGCCCTCCAGCCCCTGGCAGAGAAACCCCGGCTCAGGATCGGAAATGAGAAATCCCAACCCCTTCGGGCACTCCCCTGAGAGCGAATCCATAAGCTTGCCCTATCAGAGGGGAATGTCAGAGGGAAAGGACAGAGAGGCAACCTGCTAAAGGAAACAGCGCCCCCTCTTCAGCTCACACAGTGGCCCCTGGCAGAGAAACCCGAGTTCTGGATCTGAGGACACTCAACCCTAAATGGTACTCTCCCAGAATCAGCAAGCGTAGGCTCTACCGCCAGGCTGCTTCTGGCAGAGAGATCTGAGCCCGGGATCTGGGATTGAGAACACTCAACCCAACTCTTTCCCGTGCTACCCTGGGACCAGCCAACAAAACCCCTCCTGGCAGAGGAAAAGGACAGAGAGGCAGCACAAAGGACAGGTGGACACCGAGTCCTGCTGCCACAGTGCCACAGAGCTGACTGTTAGCCTACCCTCGCATTCTCCGCAGCAGGACAAAATCAATGCATAGAGCACAAGGGGAACCCCTGTGTATTCCAACTGGTCGTACAAGGGAGTCAGTGAGCCTTCTAAGGGGAGTTTGCCTCAGACCCAGGGCCTCTCCACAGAAGCAACCAGATGAGATCCCTGCCAACCACGCCCCTAGTGTGGGCATCATAGGGATTCTTGGGATAGACCCCAACACTGAAGCTTCTGCCTTGTGAGTCCACCAGTGTAATCCAGGTAAACAATCCCTGGATCCCAGACAGAACTGCATACTAGTTTGGCCTGTAAGCCACTGCAATAGTCAGAGAATCCGCACATGCACACTGCGCCCTGTAAAAGCACATGCGAATAGCGCCAGCGTCACATTCCTTACTTAGGCAAAACTGAAACCACAACGTACACTCCCAAACCAGTGAACCTCTCTCACCTTCCTGAAAAAACAGTCCAGAAAAAAGAAAGAGACGATCATAGCCTGAACTACAAACTCAAGGAACAAACAGTGAGAGTTATAAATAACCAGATGGCTAGAGGGAGATGAAAGAACACACCCAACAAAAATCAGGACATAATGACCTCACCAGCAACCCCACAAAACAATGGACACTTCAACTCACGAGATATACAAGAAAATGACCTCAAAACGATGTTTCTCCAGCTATTAGAGGCCCATAAAGATGAAATGATCAAAGCCCTCAGAAAAATAGCCAAAGAAATCGAGACAAAGAGGAAATAAATAAAGCTCTTAGAAAAATAACCACGAAAGTTGAGACAAACAAAGAGGAAATGAACAAAACCCTCAAAGAAATGTCCACACAAATGAAGGCAAATAAAGAAGAAAT